TCGCCGTGGTCATGCCCAACACGACGGCGCATCATCGCATTGCACAACACGACAGGCGCACACGGCGAGATCCACCGTCACCGTATTCTCACGACAGCGCGGTCATGTCCACCGCCGTCGTGTTGAAGACGACGATGAGCGACCGCCTGCTTGTTGAACGCGACTGTGCTTTGGTGGCGATAATGTCCGCGTTCGACCGTCGCATGTTGAACATTACCACCGGCACGGCGGCTACGAGAGTGACCGTCATCGCATCGAACACGACGACGGGGTCGGGGTGTGCCACCTCTGTCGTGTTCGACACGATGACAGCGACCGTCATCGTGTTGAACACGACGACGCGGTCGTGTTCAGCACGTGGTGTACATGCCCGCGCTCGAGCGTCATCGTATTGAAGACGACATGCTGTCGCTTTCGACATGAGGACAACGACCGTCACAGGTTGAGCACGACGGCGGGGTTGAGGGGTGCCACCGCGGTCGTGTTCGACACGAGGACAGCGACCGTCAGTGGGTTGAACAGGACGGTGGGGTCATGTTCAGAACGTGCTCTACATGCCCGCACTCAACCGTCACCGCATTGAACAAATATACATCAATCTAACTCTACAAATAAATATAACTCATTTTATATGTAACTTATTCTCTTTAACTTATTGATACAACTTTTTGGGTTGTGGGCAGCCACCTCTGTCATGTACGACACGATGACAGCGATCGTCATCGGGTAGAACACGACGGTGAGGTCATGGGGTGCCACCGTGGTCATGTTCGACACGGTGACAACGACCGTCGTCGGGTTGAACACGACGGTGAGGTCGGGGGGTGCCACCGCGGTTGTGTTCGACTCGATGACAACGACCATCATCGGATTGAACACGACAGTGGGGTCATGTTCAGCACGTGGCGTACACGCCCGCGCGCAACCGTCATCGTGTCGAACACGACGGTCATCGTGTCGAACACCACGGTCATCGTGTCGAACACGACGGTCGTCGTGTCGGACTCGATGATGGACGGCTCTGTGAAACTGTGGGAGAAATTCTGTTGACGTCCTGAAAAAACAGGAATGACGAATAGCAGCAGTGGATGGGCGCGATTGGGGGGTTGTGGCGGGGGGGG